ATACTGAAGCCTGTTTGGACCTATTCTATACAGCCCTGGGGGACTGTTAGCAACTCAAATATTGAGATACTTAAGCGTTACCAATCAAAAACTTTGCGACACATTGTCAATGCTCCTTTTAACGTATCTAATGCAAATATCCACAAAGATCTTAATATTCCAACCATTAAAGAAGAAATAAATAAAACTAATAAGAAATACATCGACAGACTCCACAAACACTAAAATAATTTAGCCTTAAGTCTATTAGACAATAGCTTAACAGTGAGAAGACTGAAAGGATACCACATTCGCGATCTCCGCGATAGATAAATCCAACAAACTGAAAAGATGTTATATATAATAGCAGTGCTCATTGGAAAACTGATATTTCTGTTAATTTAATATTAATTATACAATTGAATTATTGTTTAAACAGACAGATTGTAACTAAAAAGAAAGAGAAATAAAAAAATAACTTGTAACAGTGTGAGCATACATGTCTCGATGCAAGATTTGGTGGCTCTAGCTTTTATGCACGGACGGATAGCCAGGCATGGCTTAATCGTCTCGGCTATTGATGCTGATGAAGAATATGTATATTTAATGGGGTCGGAAACGTTTCCTTCTGTGCGTTACATACAACCGTTACTCGTACAAATACAATATACCCTATTTACTCTTCGAGTACCGGGTATAATTACGAGCCAGAGGAAGATAAATTCGGATCACTAGGAACGCCGTTGGAGAGCAAGTAAACACGTGCGGACCAGCAGATGCTGAACATATTTTATTTCTAGACTACTAGCTTGCTAACGACGTTTTAGTAATATAAGATTAATTCTTTGCTTATATTCCTCGATCCGCAACTCTCTGCAAAATAATGAAATGAAACCCTCTTAAGCATTTGCAAATGCTGTGAGTAGTGGTTTTAAAAGAAGTCAACGCGTTTTCCGAAAAATTTATTATATAACCAGTTAAAGATACATTGCTATGTATATATTTTTATTTTTATATATATTTCATTTCTCATATAAAGTTAAGGTTCTCGTCTTAATGTCTTGGTTGGTTACTAATCTGTAAAAAGAGTAAGCCGATTAAAGTCGATTTATGAAATGTACTTTTAAGATATTATACTTTTCTCGAACACAATACGGATAATTAATATATATGTATATATTTTTTTTAAAGGAGCAACTTACTTAATCTTAAATATAAATATTTATATATATATATTTTTATATATAATATGTATGTTTAAATTATTGATTTATATATGTACTTTTCCCGTTTACATTTGTAAAATATTCGTTGTAAATATACTAACCGCCCCTATTAGAAGTTTAATGTAAAACCTTATACACTGAGTAAAAAAATATTTTTTTTCGCAATTTAGTATGTACGGACATACATATGTACTCATGTAAGTATAACCTTAAAAAAAAATTGAAAATTAATTGTAGTTATGGCCTAATCACAAAAAAATAATACGAAAGGGAACTATTCGAATTTGAGTATGATTAAATATAAAAGATGGAAGGAACTGGTGTTTAAAAATTGGTGGCAGTATGTACTAAATCAGAATTAAGGGAAAGTCTAGGGATACATTTGTTTAAAATCAAGTCAAAGTTTAAAGGCAGCCTAAAAACTAGATGGTTTGAAAAAAATTAATTATGTCTAAACTGTACATGCAACTGACCGGGGTTTTATTAAGTATATACATATGTATATCTAGAAAAAAAAAACACCAACAACTGATTCATACGTTTCATAGTTTAGATAATATTCTACCTGAAAGATGCAGTATGTGAACAAAAGTTGAATAAATGTGTTTACAAATAATTGTCAACTTTGTGTGCTCATATCTCGAAAACCTATTTTTTTAGTTTCAGTTTTGAAAGCCTTGGAAAATTATATATAAGATTCGCCTGCATCCGAAGCCTTCCAAAATTGTTCGACTTTTGCCACCTCTTAACGACTGAGACCCTACAGTGCGTTGTCGAAAACACAAGATAAAATCAAATTTGAAAGCTTAATATTTCTTAGACGTAAGTGCATTTATACCCTGAATCTATTAGCTTTTGATAATGGACAATTTCAAATACAACCAGATCTAAGATACTAATGTTATGTGATGAAGAAGTTGTAACCTATAAAACAAACATTTTTAAAAAAACAAATTAATTTCAACAATTTTAAAGACCTAAATCGATCGTTAAAACCTGTTTGATTCGAAGCTTAACGACAAGGGACGCGTGAGACGCTTCTTACGCACCACAACTTTTATACCCGGTACTCAGTACTACATCTGCACCTTAGCGATGTTTTGTCAAATTTTAAATTTTTTCTTCATCTGTCATCTACATCTACAACACTTCTCACACCAACACGCTCCGTTAGCCACAGCATATTAATTTCTTCATTCTGGCTATAAAAATGGTCCATATGGTCCCAATTCGGTGATCTGATAGAAATGTTTTGGGAGGATTTCGCCCTTTTGCAGGGGGCGTGGCTTTTTTTTAAATACACTTGTAACAGTGTGAGCATACAGAAGTCTGAATGCAAAATTTGGTGGCTCTAGCTTTTATGGTCTCTGAGATCGAGGCGCTCAAGAAGACGGACGGACGGACGGACAGACAGACATGGCTCAATCGACTCGGCTATTGATGCTGATCAAGAATATATATACTTTATGGGGTCGGCAGAGTTTCCTTCTGTGCGATACATACAACCGTTATTCGTACAAATACAATAAACACTATTTATTCTTCGAGTACCGGGTATAAAAAGGCTGCTACCTAACATACATTTCGACTTTCTTAATTTCAGCACTCAATTTCTAATCAATTCATTGTAATAATAACGAGTAAATACGTTGTGAGAAGCAGCGTCACTACTTGATACCCGATACTCAATCAGAATATGGCTGAGTACGCTGAATACGGAAATATAGTATGAAAGTATTATTACATACTTCGACAAAAAGGTTTATTAACTCTTCGATTACCGGGTATAGTTATAATTATTATTATGATTAATCGATTATAAATTGCAGAGATTGTATTTTTTCAGAAACAATTGTTGTCGAAATTCTTAAAATTTTATAATTTAAAAATTTGACTAGCAGTTTTGTGTCAGCGTGACTCTGCTCAACCTGTAAGTCAGTGGCTGTGACAAACAAATCAGGAAAGTTTGATTAAAAATATAAATATAAAATTCGAATCCTAATTTAAATATCTAACAGTAACAAATATATGAAAATATGGCTGAAGATTTTCTAATTTAATCTGTTGATGAATCATTGCTTGGCCCAGTCATTGGTGTTGGTTAAAAAATAAAAATAACAATCAAACTATATATTCCCCACCAAATAGGGATAATTAGATAGATAATTAATTATGAAATACTGCAATTTCGTATTTATGGGAACGTACTTTGCTGTCTTACATTAGTATTGTGTATATTACGAAGAATATTATTTTAGGACTATGTAAAATCATATAAAATGTATGTATGCATATATACGCTATGCATATACTCATACATTTTGTATGATTCATATAATAAATTAAATTGTACTATTTAAATGTGATGTATTTTTAATAATGCTTAATGTATTTTTTGCGCGTTCAATAAACTTTATTTAGTCTCACTCGTTTGTATCTTTGACCTTCAAAATTGGTTTTAAAATCATATATAATAACTAAGAGAAAAACAGCCTCTATTACGATAATGTGGACTAGATATCATATGTATTGCTACAATCTTGGGTAATGTAATCTTAAAATGTTCATACTTTAGTATGTTTAACAAAAGTGTAGTTTGGAAACAGAACAGGAGTCAGAAAATGTAGCTATGTAATTAACTTGTCTAATATACTGCGCAATAGACACTGTATTTTCAATATTAAATATGATTGACTATAAATATATAAGTCTTTTTATTCACATTAATCGTAAGCTTTATATAGGTAGTTGTCACATTTTCCTCATCCATACAATACATCATATTTATAAATAAATATAATATTTTATATGATATTTGTGTCTGACATTATCTATGTATGCATATGTGCTGGTCTTAATATTTATGCCTATTTATCAGTCAACTTATTTTGTATTACTTCCTTTCTGTAAACTAGTGTCGTACATTCAGTGTTTAGACCCCAAGTTAATTTTTATATTTTTTTATTTTTTTTATATTTTTTAATGCGTGAATTACATACCGTTAACGATTTTTATTTGTGTAACACATATGTATGAATACATGTATGTATGTATGTTTGCCGCTTAAAAATTATCATAGAATATGTTAAACATCAAAATCTAGAGCTAATCACTTAAATCGTTTCGAAACACTGAAAAGTATTTGATTGGTAATTGAAGGTAATTCACCCTTACATACATTTGTATGTACATATGTATATTAACATATATTTTCTTTTTAAAACATATATTGCAATATAAAACGAGAAGGGACGTGTGAGACGCTTCTTACGCGTCACAACTTTTTACCTGGTACTCAGTAGTACATCTGTACCTTAGCGGTTTTTTTTTCAAATGTTATATTTTACATGTTTTCGACATATGTCATCTACGTCTACGTCACTTCTCACGCCAAAACGCTCGTTTAGCTCGCCTCCTCCCCTAGAGCCGCACAATGAACGAAGAAGAATGAGACAATGTGCAAAACACAAGAATAACGAGAAGGGACGTGTGAGACGCTTCTTACGCGTCACAACTTTCATACCCGGTACTCAGTACTACATCTGTACCTTAGCGGTTTATTGAGCATACAGCAGTCTTGAGCGAAAATTCGGTGGCTCTACCTCTTATAGTCTCTGAGAACTAGCCGACAAACAAGACGGACAGACAGACATGGCTCTATCGACTCGGCTATTGAAGTTGATCAAGAATATATATACTTTATGGGGTCGGAAACGTTTTCTTCTGTGCGTTACATACATCCACTTTTACCCACAAATACAATTTACCCTATTTACTCTTTGAGTACCAAGTATAAAAACACATACGCAAAAAATTAAATTAAGGTGGAATTAAATATCGAACAATAATTCTGATCATTTTCTTTGTGATATGGTATTCAGCACATTGATTATCGATCTTTCTGTAGCAGCCACAAAAAAGATTGATCTAAGAATTATTTTTTTTTCGATAAGTGATCGGATCTTGGAGGATCACAGGCGGAAAGAAGGTCAATCAAACTGTGTCGACCCTGCAGATAATCCAGATTCACAATTTATGCATTGTATGAGAACGTTGCAAGCTGCTGGCAAAAATCAGAGCATATATGTGTATATAACAAAAAAGCAATGAGTATTACTTTGAAAGATTATGTTATGTTTAAAATTAATAAAAAATCAAACGATTTACAAAATATTAAAAAAAAAATTCGAAGTAGCTTGGGTTGTTCCTCAAATAGATCAATGATTAAACAGAAACCATTTTTGTTTAAAATTGTGCACATTTAGCCTAAAATACGCATCGCGTGATAAACAATTGAGTTGCATATCGGGCATGCTGCGTCCATGGAAACGCAGATCTGATTGGCACAGTCCATGCAGAACATATTGTGGCCGCATGGCACCAAAGCTGTGGTTACTTCGTTTTCGTTGCACACAAAACACTCGCGTTGCAGAGTTAATTTGTCGGCGATGGAATTAGGTTGGAATTGAACTGACGCTGCTCTTTGCTGACTGATACATGACGATTCCCTTACGTGGCGAGAAATGTTTTGATTTACTGAGTGTTCTCCAAGCCCCAAAAGAGAGTCCGTCGGACTTATGGAGGTTGTTGGCGAACAATGTGCGGTGGGTATAGTGTTCGCTGGAATATTCCAAATGCTTGGCGAGTCCCCAATACCTTCATCCACATCAATCGAGTCGCTTATATTTTTCCATATATTTAATAGTTCTGGAGGAGTGTTGGCGCTATTGTTTGTGCTCTTTGTCGAAGCGGTTGAAGACGCTGATGAACATGATCTGGTTAGTATATTTGAGCCGGAGTTTGAATTCATAGATGCGGATATCGGTGGACAGAATGACAAGGTTTTGTGCGTAATACGGTACATATTAGTAACTTTTGCTGGTGGAATTTGAGCTTCACTGGCGGCATAATGATTATCCGATGTGGCTGTGGCCATTGCAATTGGTGGCATGTCCAAGTCAGCTAATTCCGACTTCTGATAAGCGTTTCTTAGATGATGATCCGGCATTAGTTTCACCCCATTCATGTTGAGACTATCCACAGTGCCATCATTATCGCCATAGTCCAGAGCAGGCGAGATAACACTTTTGTAGATGGATGACAGTATTTCCGAGTTCAGATCATCGTTCAGAATCTGTGTTAATGAATTTATAGTTGGCTGTGACCCAAAGTCGTGCGATTCGGTCGATTCACATACTTGTCCGGCACCAACACCGCCAACACCGTTTCCAGTTCCGGATCCAGTTCGAAGGGCAATGTGTGCTTCAATTTGCTTCCGGGCCGTGTCTACGTTATCTGGCAAACCGGTCACTTCAAAAATAGGCTCTTTCTCGCGCGATGGCGTCACAATATACGTTTGTGTCTCCTGTTGGATGTGTTTAATTGTGGCGCCTTTTGGTCCAACCACGAGGCCCACAACGCGATAGGGTACACGTACCTGTATGGTAACCTGACCGGGCAAGCAAGGGGGCCCGGACTGCATTCGCGTTACAGGACCTGCACTGCCACCCGCTCCAGATCCCGAATCATTTAATCCCGTCAATCCGCTATTGTGACCCTCAATTGAGGGTTTTCGAGAAGCTCGTATCAAGCTAAAGTGATCTGCTGCAGAGAGTATTTCCCGTTTTGCCTTGTTTACATCTTCCTTGCGACCAGTAACTACAAATACCGGCTCCTCTCCGCGAACTGGGGTTTTAATGTAAGTATTTGTTTTAGCTCTCAAAGCCTTGATCTTGCACCCTAAGTATGGAGAAACGGTAATTATGAAACAAAATGCATTCTGTTGATTGTAATCTGGTAAGAAATTAAACATTGCGCCGTCTGTAATGTCTGTTTCTACACAATCTACCTGAACGGGTTTTTTAGTACAGGATTAGTTCATTAAACGAAACTAACTCGTAAACAGTTCAGAAAGTTATGGAAAGCCTAAAGTCGCCTTTGGAATTGCGATGGTGCAACTCATGGACTCATATTTTGGGCTGTGCTCACATATGTATGTATGTACATGCTACACACCCATATATTTTATTTCTACGAAATATTTATTTTCATTTAAGATCAACTTACCCTGCCGACCAACTATTTCGGCAACATGTTCTGAGCTCGGAACTGGAACACATTCGGTCATATTTTGGGACTTTTTTAATCGGTCTTCAACGCCAACTGCAGCGGCGGTGGGTAATAGAAGCCCGGAAGCGGATACTGTAGATAAAGGCAGGGTGTTGTCCGTTTTAGAATAAATGGCGGGCACCACATTGATGGAGCCTATTTCAAAATCGTTCTGTATCGTAACGGGTAGCGCAGGTTGGCCATAGCAGTGTTGATTGTCATTTAGCCCGACCAATGATAGTTCCAACGCCAATTGCAACGTTCGCGGATCCTCGGATAGTGGCATCGACGACGCATGAACTTTTCGCTGTTCTAACATTTGATGATGTACAGGATTATTCTTGTGAATTGAGTCCGGCATACTATCGTTCAACATCTTTGGTGCTACTTGCGCCGACATTCTTATAATTGAGTGGTCTTTACTTTGAAAAGAGATTAAGTCGGTAGGGCCAATGTTTAAAAGCGGGCAGCTGCTAATGTTCCCTCCAAGTATGAATCCACTTTCACAAGATGAGGGTGGAGCTCAATGATGCAGATGCAGATGCCTTTGCCGATGATGAACTTGAAGATAATGATAAGGAAATCGAAGCAGAACTGGAACTCACGCCATTGTATTCATTCAAATTCGTGCTTAATTCTCTATTCCAGACATATCATTATGCTCTACAAATAATTCACGTCTTGACTTCTACGATGAGGACATTTACCAATAAGTATTGTGCTCAAATATAATGCATTTCCAATTGCATTTGAATCGTTTTGGTATTTCCTTTACTGATTTTCTGCAATATACAAAAAGACAGAAAATGCATTTGGTATACACACAGGCATGTTTATGGGAGGGATATGGGTGTATTGGATGCCTCTACATCATACATACATATATATATGTATTTATGTATATACATACAAATGGACGGATATTTTCTTTCATGCCTCCGTGTGCATACTTACATTTAGGATAACTAAATAGTTTAAGTCAACATTTTATAACATTTTTTCCAATTCCTTTCTCCTTTAGAAAGCAGTTCAGTTAAGTTTTAGCCGCGCTGCTGCAACCGAAGTACCAAGTACCGCACCGCTCGTAACCAACCCCTAACTTACGACAACTTTTGTGTCACTCACCCCTTGTAACAGCTCCTCCCTTACAATAACTGTCCCTCTCTTTACACCCACAACACAATATGTGTACATACAGTTTCCATCGCACACCAACATTCACCCGGGTATGGTATGGAACTCAATGCTATCTTATGGCCGACTGTTTTGTCTTTTGGTGGCACTTTTAAATTCAACCTTACGAAAATCAATTTATATCCGCGCCCTGCTCTTTAAAAATTTTCGTTTAATGCGAATTGCCAATCTAGTTGTACGACGTACATGACATATTCCACTCAGTGGGAGGGGGTGTATGTACGTATCGACATCCATAAAATACATACAAATGTACACTAGAAAACTGTTTTGCTAGGTACACATTCCGACAGTATCCGTATCCTGACACGCCTTTTGTAAATTGGTCATTACGATGAATAAAAGAACACATATCAGGAACCAGGGACCAAAATTATGTAACTTGATTTATGTTTAATAAATACAAACTTAAGTTTCCCAATATAACAATTTTTGTTATTGTTGACTTAGTACACTCGATCAACTTTACTTTGCCGGTAATCAACAGTGTGACCGCACACTTATCGATTAAATATACTTCCAAAACTCTCGGAAATATACCGAAATATACATTCATATACTCTAAATATAATGAATAAAACGAACTAAACCCTCGCAACCCCTCTCTATTTAATTTGAATTTTGTAATTTCAAATATTCAAAATGCTGTTAAATTAAGCTTGTAAGTCCCTTCTTTCTCTTTGATTAAAAGCAAATATCTTCCAGTCCAAATTTGTAAGCCCATGTCCATAGTCGGAATTTTAAATGCGTCTTAGAAGAATAAGCTAGCCACGACTAATCTCATCCGATGGATAAATAAATTTGCTATAATATTTTTATTTTATTATTGCTTCAAAAATAAGGTACAAATATAACAAGGAGGAACGCTGTGAGACGCTTTGTACACATAACAACTTTTATACCCGGTACTCAGTCTGTATATTCTTACGTTCATACATTTGTATCTATATATTTGTATATGTAACCTGAGTGTGATACATATGTACATACATAGGTATACAACCTTGTTTTTTCTAATTTTGCATATAATTCGGTGATCTGATAGATATGGTCATTCCCTACCGAATGGCGTTTTTAGTTTCTTTTTATCTTCATTGTTGTGAATACAGCAGATTTTTCGGGATTTGATGGGGAAAAGGGGGCGGGGCTCATTTTTTAAATACACTTGTAACAGTGTGAGCATACAGCCATCTGAATGCAAAACTGGTTGGCTCTAGCTTTTATAGTCTCTGAGGACGGACAGACTGCATGGCTAATGCACCTTCTCATACATTAGCAGTTTCCATGGAAAAGATCCATGAGCCTTATTCTCAAGATGTAGCTCAAAGTGACCTTTTTATACCCAGTACTCGAAGAGTTATGTTAGGTTATCCTAACACACTTAGGCCCGTTGTGATTCCGCTTGGATCTACTCCTCTACTCCTCTTCTCCTCCCGTTTGACATGGTGTCAGCAGTGCTCCCATCCAGATGCTCTTACAAAGTTTGCTATCTTCCTGGGGCCTATAGTAGCCATTTCTGAAAATTCGTTTAGAAAAGATGAGCCTAGATATCTCAGCCTCCTTCTACTGAGAGCCGGTCAAGAGCAGAACAGATTTTCCACTGTCTCCTCCTCGTCCTCGTCTCTACAGCTGCGACAGAAGTCGTTATAGCGGGCACCAAGCCTATTTGCGTGATTGCCTATAAGCCAATGCCCTGTGAGGGAATGATTACGATGCATCTATATCTGCTGAGTTTACACAGCTCAGCGGTGCGCTTTTTCGAGATGTCTGGCCACGTTTGTCGGGTGATGCGACATCTTGGGACCATTTGCCATCTGTTGTTCGTTTATAGGGTATAGTACTCTTTTATAATGAGCTTGCAAGTGTCTATTGGCATACATATTTCCTCCTTATTTTTGTTAAGGGGGAGTGTAGTGCCAGATCCGGCCTAAAGGCCGGATGTCCACATCTGCTATGCAGTTGCCTTCAATGGCCTGGTGTCCCGGGACCTATATTAGGCTGATAACATAGAGCTCTGCCATCATAATTTACTCGAAGAGTAAATAGGCTATATTGTATTTGTGCACAAAGTGGATGTAACATATGTAACGCACAGAAGGATACGTTTCCGACCCCATAAACTATATACATATATTCTTGATCAGCTTCAATAGCTAAGTCGATAGAGCCTGTCTGTCTGTCCGTCTGTCTGTCTTGTTTGTCGGCTAGTTCTCAGAGACTATAAGAGCTAGAGCCACCGAATTTTCGCTCCAGACTGCTTTCATTCCCGCTCATTCACACTCTGCTTCTGTAGTGTGCGGCCTCTGCCTCTGCATTGCCTATGCAGTGTGCGGCTCTATGGGAGGGGGCGTGCTAAAAGAGCGGTTTGGCGTGAGAAGTTATGTCGATGTAGATGTAGATGAAAGATGTAGAAAAAATGTAAAATCTCAAATGTAAAATTCGAAAAAAACCAATAAGGACAGGTACCTGACTGAGTACCGGTAAAAATGCTATAACCTTTACAAATTGGCATTTTCAAGAGCAGGACGTCGACAATTTTTTGGAGGTGGGCGCAATTTGGCGAGGAGTTTATTTACATAAAAATCAACAATGCATTATGGGTAAAAAGCCCGAATTTTCGGCATTTATGTAATTTGTTTTGGGTGAAATTTTTGAATGCGACTTAAGTTTTCTGATTCCTCAATATCCAGATAGAACAAATCTGGTTTTAGAAGATTTTTACCTAGTACCATATGTTTTTTGCGAGCTTTCAAAGTTGGCTGATTTTTAGATGCTTTAACTTGTGAAAAAGTGCCGGAAAACTTGAGAAACTTCCAGCTGTAATTGTAGCTCGATTACAAATTTTATATACAAGTAAAAATACGGAAATAACAGGTCGATGTATTTAAATTAATTGTTAATACATGTTTTTGTATAGTTGTGTTGTTATGATCCGCCTTTTTGCCGCCCTGGTCTATCGTTCCCGGCTAGCTCTAGGGGAAGCCAGGGGTGTGTTCGACCCGATAGCCAATGGACGGATTTAACAAAAAACCCACTTTCTCGCGTGTAACGGACAGATCTCATTTTTTTTGTTTACACGCGTCTACGTTGGCACTCTCCTCAGCGGGGTCAGTCGGTGTTTTATTTGACCATTGCGAGTCCCTCCCATCCATGAGCGTTCAAAATGTTGCACGCTCCCGATTAATAAACATCTGGTTCCACTCTTCCGACTTCTCTCTTCACACTCAATCTAAGGAGCTCTACTCAATTTTCATTTTAATTTTTTTTTTCAAATTTTCAAATATACCTCAACATTTTGTATTTTTAATTTTATAACTCTACTTAATTCCTAAAACATTTTTATACCTCGACTGACATTCACCTTGCGGAATAAATAAATACTAACATAAAAAATACTAACATTAAAAAAAAAACACGGATTATATTTTTCCTTTGCCCGAGGGGGGGGGGGGGATAGACTCCGCTTACATAGATTAATAAAACGGACCTAAACGAAAACCTATTCTAACATATTTTTGTTGTTGTTCTCTTTCGTATTTTATTTTATTTTACTTCAGGTGTGTGTTACTTGTGTTTTGAAATATCAAGTCAAACGAAATTATATGTGCTAAGTGTGAATTGATTAAGTATTCCGGGAATAGACTCCGCTTACATAGATTAATAAAACGGACCTAAACGAAAACCTATTCTAACATATTTTTGTTGTTGTTCTCTTTCGTATTTTATTTTATTTTACTTCAGGTGTGTGTTACTTGTGTTTTGAAATATCAAGTCAAACGAAATTATATGTGCTAAGTGTGAATTGATTAAGTATTCCGGGAATAGACTCCGCTTACATAGATTAATAAAACGGACCTAAACGAAAACCTATTCTAACATATTTTTGTTGTTGTTCTCTTTCGTATTTTATTTTATTTTACTTCAGGTGTGTGTTACTTGTGTTTTGAAATATCAAGTCAAACGAAATTATATGTGCTAAGTGTGAATTGATTAAGTATTCCGGGAATAAATATATAAAGTGCGAATGAGGTTGCAGTGGGTATGGGTGGGTATGATGTGTGTATGTGCGATGGGGCTTATTTTCCGTATATCATTTTAATAATAGGGTTAATATGTGTGGCTATTTCTACGTGAATACGTGCGGGTTTCTAGTGTGTGTGTGATGGGTGTGTAACGTGTGTGATGTGTGGTGTGTTGTTCCGTTGCGGTGTGCGGGGCGCCGGTGCGTGTCTGGTGTCTTCCCTTGGATCCGGCGCTCTGATCCTCCCGAGGTGCTCCGGCCGAGCCAGTCTTGTCGCTGACCCTGCTGTCGGCTCTCTGCGTGGTGTCCGCTGTTGCCGTCTTCTCCTTCCAGCGCCGTCGTCGCCTCGCTTCACGATTGTCGGTTTCGTGATGTTATCTTTTGTACGGGCCTGGGCACTGATTTTATTCTTCTCCTTTTTTTTACTTTTTCTTTAGGTTCCCGACCGATCTCTCGTACCTCTTCCCGGAAACTGACCCTCTCAATATAACCTTTACGGCCACGTTTCCTTCTATCCTTCTTGTCACCTTGCAACCCTTTTTCAGCCTCCCAGGATCCACAGCAGAAGCCGCTGTCTGATCTTCTTCTCCAGCCCTGTCGGTTATCGGCTACTTCAGAAAGCCGTCCATAACAGTGTGTAGTTATTTAATAATCCAATTTTTGGTTCGTGTGTCTTTTTAGCTTGGTACTAACAATTGCACGTGTTTTTTGTGGAATATTACTTTTGCACAGCACACCACTGCACAGAGGTTCAAGTTACATGTTATTAATTAATTATTATAGAATCATGTGGTGTTAATGCTTTTTGCACGTTTTTTCCCCTTTTCGAAAAATTATAAATTTTGCAGACGCTTATGAGTTCGCTCATGCAGAGCTGCTGGAGATCTGGACCAACAAAAATCGTGAAGCAGACGTAATAAAATGTTATAGGTTAAAGAGTATTGACAAAAACTGACTAACTAAAGATGAAACTATTACAATTCAAACGAAGGTGTGTGACACACAGAAGGAAACGTGTCCGACCCCATAAAGTATACATATTCTTGATCAGCATCAATAGCCGAGTGGATTGAGCCATGTCTGTCTGTCCGTCCGTCTTGTTGAGCGCCTAGATCTCAGATACCATAAGTGATAGGGCAACCAAGTCTTCATCCAGACTGAAACAAAAACCCGCCCCTACAAAAATCGAAAATTTTCCAAAGGCACAGTTTTGAAGATAAAAGAACTAAAGAGGGAGAGAGCTAAAAGAGCGTGTTGGTGTGAGAGGTGTTGTAGATGTAAATGACAGATGAAGAAAATAGTTAAAACTTGACAAAACACCGCTAAGGTTCAGATGTAGTACTGAGTGCCGAGTATAAAAGTTGTGACGCGTAAGAAGCGTCTCACACGTCCCTTCTCGTTTATAATAAATACGACGTAAACGGGATCCAGTTCGTATGG